CATTTTAAAGTTACAAAAGTACTATGTCACATTCATAAATGAATTCCTGAACCATGCCTTGTACCTATCCTTACCAGTGCCTTCTCAGAGCTGTTACCATGGTATCAGTTTGGTATAGCTCTCTCCAGATTTGTGTAGCCCATCTGTTTTATGTGAATCTTAAATTCATAAAAAAACAAAACAAAAAACAGGTAGCAAAAAAATCTTTAAAAAAATCTAGCCACTAAAAAAAATTGTGTGTGTTTGTGATTTTTAAGATGCTTCCATTTGGTGTATGTCAGTGTTCCTTGGGTTGTAATGGCCGCATAAAATTACATGATGTGAAACCCGACAAAGTGGTGCATGCCTACAGCTGTGACACCTCAGAGGCAGAACTAGAGAATTAATACATATTTGACACCTACCTGATCTACATAATGAATTCCAGGCCATCTAGGGTACATAGTGAGACCCTATCTCAAACAACAAAAACAAACAAAAGCAAAACAGAACAAGCGAGAAGACCATGCTGTAGTGTGGATCACTGGTCTATTTGAGTGGTGTTTTATGAGTAGACTTCACTAACCCATATAAAGCCCACACTGCTGTACACGATGAATCTAAATGGAGCCCTCAGCCTTTCTCCAAAGTAGAGACTCCAGCTTTCATTTAATCTTTTTTAAAAAGCCAATCATTTCTAATGCAAATGGCATGCATACTCCCTCCTCCCCCAAAAAAGGTTTTACAAAAGACTAAATACAACATATAGACCATTGTAAAGCACAGCAATGAAAAGGCTCTTGATACCTCAAACATTTTTTTCTTTTGGTAAAGATCGGTATTTCCAGACAAGAATAAGAAAGCAAAGGTTAGGGTGACCTCTTCAAGCTCATGAAAATCGGGTGCACATTCTGGAATGGACTCAGCACAGTAGAATGGCTAAACATGCAGGCTGTGGGGCAGGCAGATCTGAGTTTTAAGGTCTGTTACACGCTTTAGGATCTTGGTGAGTTACCTCAGTTCTGAGCCTTAGTTCTCTCACTGTGAAATGGAGATGACCACGGATCACTGCATTACTGTGAAAATTACATGAAGTAAAAGGTACTGGCACAGAGGATGAGGACTGGACAACCTGGAGCTGTGTTGTCTACATAGCAACAGTGGGATCTACAAGTACTGTCTATCTTCTTTAATCAAAATGCAGATGTCCTTTCCGATGAAACCCTCCTATAACCCCACGACATCCTACAAAACTCTGGCTTCTGTAAGCCAGCTAAACAGCAGAAGGTCTCAAGGGCTTGAGTAAAAATATCTCACAAACGTTCTATACTTTTCCTGACTATTTATTTATAGGCTATTATGGCTGCTTAAAAGAAAATCTCAGCATAGCCAGGTGTGGTGGCTCACACCTTTAATCCCAACACTGGGAGGCAGAGGCAGGCAGATCTCTGTGAGTTCCAGGCCAGCTGGGGCTACAGGGAGACCCTGTCCTCAAGGAGACCAAAAAAATTAAAATTTAAATTAAAAAAAAAGGCAAAGAAAAGAATCTAAGCATCATTCTCATGGTCCCAAAGTTCCCGGGCAAGTTTGAGTGGCTTCCTTAAACCATCTGTGTGACTCTTTATTTGTGAATTAATTACAATAAGGTAATTTTATTTAAAAATAAAAAACTTATTTTAAAAGGACAAGACAGGACCCTTCTTAGCCAAAGTCATTTCTTTCTCTACCTATTTCCTTCTAACTCAACATTATCTCCAACAGTAAGTAAACTTTGGTTTCAGAATATTGCATTCTCTTCAAAACAAAGTTTAAGGAATATTAGAATCATTCAGTGGAATGGGTTCCCTTTCATCAACCAAGGAGCTTATTAGGACACGGGTCAGCCAACTTCTGTGATGGGCCAGACAGGATGTATTGGGTGCTGCTTACTTATGTGGAGAAAGCAACCACAGACATGAGCTGTGTACATTCTGGAGTGACTGTGGCTGTCTTCCAACAAAATTTTCCTTAGAGATAACTGGTATTAGAAATTTACATAATTTTCCCATGTCATGAAGTCATCTTGGAGCTTTTCTTCCACCCATTTAGCAATGTAAAAAGCCACGGGCAGTACTTAAGCGTTTCACCATAGGCTGCATGCAGTTTGACTAGAATATCCATGGAGCTTCAAAGCGGGAAAGAAGCCTGATGTGGGAGTGCCTGTCTGGATCCCAGGGTTCCTTTACTGCAGACCCTAAAGGGAGAGAGTTGCATGCAGGAGCTGTCCCCTAGCTTGCTGCCCACATCACTGCAGCACTGATGCTGTATGCTGAAGGGCCTCACTAGTGAGGCAACCTGCAACCAGATCACCTCAGCACTCCTCATATGTGCGTTCATGTGCCACTCGCCCCAGGTGATTCAAAGGCAAGGAAGGCAGACGTCGCTGATCCTTAGGAGGCTTGGTTTAGATCTCCACTTGACACATGAGCAGACTACAAGCTCTGCCACCTGCAGAAACCTTACATACTCTCGGAGATTAGAAAAATATCACTCCCACATGCCTCAAAACAAAAGCACAACAAAAATAAAGGCTCCATTTTACAGAACACAAGGTGAAACTCAAGCAACAGAAAAGAAAAAAGAATCCTTCAAAATAATTCACCACCATGGGGCAGAGTTGAAGGAAGACTGGGCCAGGACTCATTAGTCACTGAAGCTGTGTGATGGCTACAAGGAGGTTCATCAAAACATTTTCTCTGCTTTTCTGTTTCAGATCATTGTATGTTAGAAAAAGCTGAGGGGGGAGGGGTAGACAGGACATGAACTGAGTAAGAGAACTGGAGAAGAGTAGATTATTTCAGGCAAAGGGTTTCAGATCTATAATGTAGCGTCTTTAACTGCACTTAACACAAAGGTTTACCTATCTGTATTTAGTCAACAAACCATCTTTTCCTACTAGGAAAGGAAAAGGGTGGTACTGCTAAGTTCATTCAGTCTCTGTAGAGGCTCCCCACCTCCCCAGCTAAAAAACCAAAATGTCTAGCACTCCATAATGCTCACTGACTTCTTTTCCACCTTGCTCAACTGCCCTGTTATTATGACAAGGAAATCACCTGTCATCAAGTGTGGAAATCACTCTGGGTTGCTAGATTCCTCCTTACCTAAATATCAGAGATGAGAGGTAGAGTACTGTCTTCACCCTTTCTAGAAAGTGTAAATGGAGCATTAAACTATGGGCAGAGCAACAGGAAGTGCTGAAAGGCAGTCTCTGGCATCCCCCTCGGGCCTAACTACACCTAACCCCTACCCCCCAAGAGTATAGGTATCTTCTTTTTATGGAGTCACAATGCAATGGGAAATCAATCATTTGAACCAGGCACTCAGCAGTGATTCAGCTCAATCTTCTCAGTAGTCCTGTTTTTTTTTCTGTTTTTTTTTGTTTTTGTTTTTTTTTAATAAAACAAATGTTTACTGAGCCCAGCAGTATACAGAAACTGAGTATGCCTTCATCAAGGTC